GGTGGGAACTGTGGCCAACAGCAGGCTGTGTCCTGGGCTTAAAGGGGCAGCTCTCCTCAGCTCAACCCAATTGTTGACATGGCTTACGTTGCTGGAAGTTTTTCACCTTTCAGGAAAAGCTGGATTTTTATGTGAAAACCTCTGGATTTTTAATCCATTTTTTAAAAACCGTTTGGGCCCACCGACACAAGAATGTGAGCTGAAGTTAGCTGTTGGACCTTCAGTGTGCATTCTCTATTCCATGCTACTCAAAAGTGCATCCCAGATCCAAGAACTGTCTGTTACATTCCCAATTAGATGCGCATAGCAACTGAGAATAACATTTAGAAACATCCATAGTAGTTTGACAGAGTCATGTGAACATAATTTTCTGACCCTAGTAATAAAAAATTGGCCTTGTATTTTTATATGTTTTATAATTGATTTCTCTATTTTTTTTAAAGAACAGTATCAGTGAGCAGTGGATTAGAAATCTTGCCCACGGACAGCTTAACCATTGTCGTGGTCTTTATCAAAGAAAAGGGTCTATTTCTAAACCAATTAGGGCTTGATAACTGAATGTCAGTCTCCAGAATCTTCACATTACTACCTGAAAAGACACAAACCTGTTAAGTTAAAATGCACCCATTTCTAACCAGCTGCAAATATTTGGCAGTAAAGGCCCAGAAGGTGACCTCTTTTCCCCAGAGGAATGGGGGAAATACCATGTCACTCCTGTAGGACTGCTCCTGGGCCCATCAGTGGGAGGTGGGGCCAGATGCCACAGGTCACATGGACTCCCTCCTCCCCCAACCAGTACAGCAGGACCCACCCACAAAAGGGCCTCACCTGATGCAGAGCACATGCTCCCTGGCTATTGTCTGTGTGTCTGCCTTTTGGAACATGAGCTCCTTTAGGACCAAGAATTCTGCTTCTCTGCCTCCCCAGCGTAGTTCCACTGCTCTGAGTTCTCTCCTCTTTCTGGCCAATACAGGCTCCTTGTTGGGCAGAAGTGTCAGGCACCTAGCTCTGGAGCTTTGAGAGCTGACGCACAGCTTTCTATCCCGGAGCTTGTGCCCAAGTGGCCCTCTGAACTTTGCCCTCTCCTGCTTAGGCAGAAGCTCCGGGATGGGAAGTTGGTTGCCAGCTATCAAAGCTCAACATCTAAAACGAGGTGACATCCTTGTCTAAGAAGAACACCCATATGGTCCTATTCCTGCCTAGTAAGGGTTTAGGTAAAGGCCAGAGGGCCGGCAGGCGAGAACAATGAAGTGCTCAAAGATTTGAGAGCCTCTTCATCTAGACACCCAAAGGGACAGACAGGGTCTGCACACTCCTCTTTAAGGAGTTGAGGGAAAGCCCCTGAGGAAGCAGTGCACTGGTTAGCGGTGAACCTCGCCCCCAACCCTCTTCAGCAACTTCAAGCACCATGGAGTGAACACCTACTGAACCATCCTGGAGGGCTGGTGCACTGGACCTCGCCACCTGCCTGCCCCTTGGAACGGGGAAATTTCCGGGCAAAGTTGGGTGTGGAGAAGGGGTGTGGGGAGTCAGGCAGGCCTGCGGAAGTGATTTTAGAAGTTCGGATCTGGTGGGGGAATTTTTCCTCAGACCATTTGGAGAGAAGAGGTCACAATCATGATCGACTACAAGCTGTCTGAAATGATCAAGTAGACACAGGGAAAGCATTAAATTGCTGAGAAACAATGGCTGTTTTGTTTCCTCTTGGGGAGCTCTAAAGACTTTCCTATCAATCGGTGATCTCTCTCTAACTGAGATACAGAGGGATCAGAGTTGAGGCCAATAAAGCACCTGCACGTCTCTTGTAATTCTCCAGGTAGCCAGGTTGGGGCTGGATGTCATTTTTTTGCAATTTAAAATACTTTACTTTTTACAATTTAAGAGTATTTATATGAGATCAGCCCTGTGTGTGTAAAAAAAGAAATAGCCTGTTTGGCCAAACAAAAAAAAGGTACTGTGTTGTGGAAGTTACTGAGTTTTACATATTTTAACTGGGGGGGGGGGTGTACAAAACAAAGGTACGGTAATCTATACAATTAGTTATTTAAGCCATTACAAGTACCATTACAGAAGGAGGGCAGGAAGAGAACATCTAAAATACATAAAATTATTTTTAAAAACTCATTCTAGGAAAAGGAAATGCCAGAGTAGTAAGATAAGGAGTCTTAATTAACAACAATTTCATCTATTTTCCTCCTTCAAAATGAGACACTGTATACCGCAGTTTGCTTCGAGAGCAGTTTTGCACCACAAATCTGGGACATGTTTTTAGCTGTGTGTTTGCTCTACATGAGGCTTAAGAAAAACAGCAACCAAACTACCCAGTCTAGCCCTGGAGGGAAAGAGAAGACCTAATCACCCGTGATGGAGATTACATAATAGAGACTTGCACACACAAACCCCAAGAGTCTCAGAAGACTCAGCCTCTGGCTTCCTGTCATAAAAGATGTCTTTTTTTCCCCCTTTGTAAGGATCACTAAAAATGCTTCATAAAGACCAAGTGGATGTCTTGGGTAGAAATAGAGGTCACTTAAGAATGATTTATAAGTGCACCCCCAGCCAAAATGAAGCATGTATTGATATCTAAAGTGCATCTGCATTTAGTGCAGCAAAAGCTCATAATCTGTTTCTAATCCGTGCCCTGAAGATGCTCTCCTCAAGGAAAAGGCTGGGTTTGGGCAGCCGCCCCTCCCCAGGCCAGCGTCCCAGGCCCCTCCTTGGGCAGTCGGAGTGCTCCTCTCTTAGATAATGCCAGGTACTCTGGAAAGTAGCCGTGTAATAATACACAAACCCCTGATGATGTCAG